CAAGATGTGGTTGCGGTTGAGATGCTATCTGCTGCATGAACACCCATCACCCTAGATGTGGCTGTGTGTTTATGGGGTGGGGGGCACAGTGCTGGCGGTGTACAGACGCCCAGGGACAATGATTTCCTGCTGGCAGTGTGACGCAAATCACAGGAAATACCACCTCCAAAGTCTGTCATTTTCAAACCATAAAAGACCAAAATTACATCTATGTATGTGTGGTGGTGTTTCTTAAAAAAAAAAAGAGGACAGAGAGGAAGGAGGCAGCCAGGAGAGAGAAAAAGAATCCAGCCTGGTGTCTGCCGCCCTGCTGCTTTGTGAAATGTCTCCAGCCGGCAGTGGGGAAAGCAGGCTGGGTAGAGAGGCATGGTAGGCAACTGCACCCAGCATTGTGGCTACCGGTAGCGGGGCAGGTGCAGCGACCTGGAATTGCTGTCTTCTAACTAAACTCCAGAGACACCACAGTGGATGTTCCCTGGGGTTCACATCCACTTTCTGCCATTAACAGGTTGAGTGATTTGGGAACTGGACACTTCTGGACGACACTCACGTTCTCATCCATGAAGTCTGCAGATAGCTGTTGTTTAGTTGCCAAGCCGTGTCCGACTCTTTGTGAGCCCCTGACTGTAGCCTGGCAGGTTCCTCCGTCCATGGGATTCTCCAGGCCAGAACACTGGAGTGGGTTGCCATGACCTCTTCCGGGGGATCTTCCTGACCCAGAAATCGAACCCGCATCTCTAAAGTCTCCTGCATTGGCAGGCGCATTCTTTTACCACTGGTGCCACCTCCTATAGGAAGCCCTGAAATTTGGACGGGAGGTAACCTACAGGATAAATCATCTCCAAAAGGTCTTGAAAGAGTTTGGATGTGAACAAGTCGAAGCATTCCTGGATAAATGAGGAATGGCAGACAGATTTCAGCTTAAATGCAACTCTCCCCCACCGCTGTACTGAAAAGGACTCTGAGGCAGTGCCTGCTCTTAGCGGGCAGCAGTGCCGTAGTCCATTAGTAATGTCCTCGCTGCCAAAGTCCATAAGAAACCAGCATTTGAAATAGCACTCTGAATTTCAGTGGCAGATTTGCCTTTCTAATGGTGTTTTGCTTAGGCTAAGAATAGAATTATCCAATTTATGTCTCTAAAGTCACTTACCAACTTGGAGGAGAACTGGGGCATTGCAAAATCACGTTAGGGAAACAAGGTCGAGGTTTTAAATTTGCAATTGATAATCCGATAAATGGTAAAAATCTTGAGGGCTGGGACTGGTAGGCTGGTAATGTTTCAGTTACCCTAAAATCCCTTTCATTAGTCCAAAGAAGTTTCCTATATTTAATGACTGCTCAATTAGATTCCACTATTTTATTAATAAATAGTTGAGAGCTTTAGGAGCAATTTCCTTCTAAGGAATCAGACCACTAACCAGAGAATTTGCCTTTTTTTTTTTTTTCCTTAGAGGCATAGGTGGAGTGGTGAATAAGGAAATTAAAATGTATCAGTCATCTACTATGTACTAAGAAGATAAAGAATTATTTTATCTGGCTATAATTCTTTGAGTTTGATATTATGGTTATGCCCAGTCTCTGAGTTGAGGGCTCAGAGAGGTCAAATAACTTGCCAAATGAACCACAGTTGATTTAGTGGTGAGGAGAGGATTCAAAATCACATCAGTTTTGACTGAGGGGCCCTTATTATTCTTCTCAAACCAGGAGACCACGAGCTTTTCTTATCATGGCTTTGGCACTGACTATCTGTGTGACCCTGGGTAAGTCACTTCTCCTCTCTGGGTTTTTCCTGCTTTATCTGTAAACTGACTGATATGGACCCCAGAAATCTTTCCAGAGCCATCAACCTATAATTCCGATGGAAGCACCAAAGACAAACAGCCAAGGGATGGTAACGGGACTGAAAAGCAAAAGCCCAAGGAACAGCATTTTGTTCCATCAATCCGGTAGCAGACAGCCTCAGAATCCTCAGAATCCGCCAAGTCCCTTCAGGGCTAAAGCAAAGGGTTCGAGAGCACCATTCCTCCCGTGTGGAGCAGGCTGTGAGCTGGGCCTCTCTCAGTGCCCACAGGGCGTGGGCCTGCTGCCCATCTGCACCCCTGGCACGCGGTCCTGGACCCGCCCATGGCCAAGTCCATCCAAGCTGCGTGGTGGCTAACTAGGAAGGCCCCCAGAATGGTGGCTCAGACCGCAAAGAATCCACCTGTAGCGCAGGAGACCCAGGTCTGATCCCGGGGTCAGGAAGATCCCCGGAGAAGGGAATGGCAGCCCACTCCAGTATTCTTGCCTGGAGAATCCCAAGGACAGAGGAGCCTGGTGGGCTACAGCCCATGGGGTCCCAGAGGGCTGGACACAACTGAGCGACTGACACACAGGATAGTGGTAGCAAACAGAGTTTGAGTCCCACCAGATTTTCACCGCCCCAAGCCATCTTCCATCAGCTCACAAAAGCAAGAAACAAGGACAGCACCAGAGGCAGCTTCGGAGGCGTCCTCAGAAACAGTGCATGGAAGGAGACTCTGCAAGGCCCCCTCTGCAAGAGGACTCACGGCCTTCCTGCGGGGGCTGCAGACTTGCTAGCACCAGTGACTACACACTCCCACCCCTCACCAGGCTCACTTTCAGGCAGAACTTGGAATTTTTAAGGATATTTTCAGCTCTTACCATAGATGCCTGAGAAATACCTCCACTCATACAGAATTGGAGAACTATGAGGAAGACCCAATAGCCTGGAATCCCAGAGGCCAAGTAAATATAGAAGGGAGGGGGACTTCCCTGGCGGTCTCAGGGCTAGCATCCCGCACTCCCAATGCAGGGAGTCTAGGTCGGATCCCTGGTCAGGGAACTGGATCCCACATGCCACAACTAGGAGTTTGTAGCCACAACTAAAGATCCTACGTGCTCTGACTAAGATCCAGCACAGCCACATAAAAAATATTCTCTAAAAAGAATAAAATATTCAGTATGCTTAAAATAGAAGGGAGGGTAACCTCCCTCTAGCCTTCATAATCCGGCTAGATGGAGGAAGCAGAATTACAGATCACACATAAAACCTTTTTGGTGAGTGCACACTCAGTTGCTGTGGTCGTGCCTGACTCTGTGCAACTCTATGGACCGTAGCCCACCCAGCTCCTGTCTCCATGGGCTTCTCCAGGCAAGAATACTGGCGTGGGTTGCCATGCCCTCCTCCAGGGGGTCTTCCCAACCCAGGAATTGAACCCACATCTCTTGCATCTCCTGCACTGGCAGGCAGGTTCTTTACCGTTAGTGCCACAGCGGGAGGAATCAAAGGTGGCAGCTTGCTAATACTGAGAGTTCCCACGTCTTGAGGCAGGAAGAGGGATGGGACCCTGGGGCCATCTCAGCTCCACTGCTTTCTCTCCCAGTCTCTCCATCTAGTCTTCTGAGAGACTAAAAGAATTCCCATTCCGCCCATGTTTGAAAAACCTACTAATTTTTCCTCTGTGCCGCTCCCCCCACTCCCTTATTTCTAAAATGGGTCTAACAGTCTTGCCTCGCCAAATCTCAGGGCTGCTGGGAGGATCATAAGAGGATGACATTCATATACTGTGACTGGTAAAGGATGAATGCTACCAAGAGACCCTGATGGCTGATTGGTGTAATTCCCAGCTCTCCAGGGGACACAGTTTGAGGCGCCCCACTTGCTGAGAGTGGGGAGCAGCAACTTGGAGGAAGGCACATGACAAGGAACCCCATTCTCATGACCTCCACCACCTACAGCCGTCTCCTGTCACCGTCACAGCTCAGGGTCCGTGACAGCCACCGCCTTCGTCACGGCTGGCTCCCAGGATGTCCTGTCTGCTGCAGTTTTCTCAGGAAGGGACGGTAGACAGTGAATGAGCACCCACGGGCCAGGATTTAATTCTCACTTCTGACATCTATGGATTGCATAAGCCTGGGTGAGTCACTTGACCTGTCTCAAGGTCAATTTCCTCACACATCAGGTTGGTATAATTACAAACCACCCGGCACCCCAACTGCATGAGTGTTGTGAGCTCAGAAGACATAATGGGCCTATAAGTCCCTTGCAATCTGTTAAGCACTGTTTAACATGAATTATGATGAGCAGCCATAATCAGACACTCTGGAGTACTTTAAGGGAAGTTCAGCATGTTCTTTTACAAAGCATCCAAGTTCAAATGAGGGTCAACTATGAAAAAATAAATAAAATATGGGTACAAATAAATCCATTGTTTATGATCATGGTGTCCCGAGAAGTAAGAAGATGGCTGATGTTCCTTTTGGATACTTCCTGGGATGGGGGTTATGCCATAAGTATGACTAACTTACACTCAGGAAGCCTTTAAAACTCCAGATGACAAAGGCAATAGATAGCAGGGCTTGAACTCAAGTCCACTTCTTTAGCACTCTGATCTCATGCTCCTCCTACCCCACAGTAGGTGAAAGTGATAGGACTGTTGATCTGGAACATTTGGTTTGAATTCCTCCTAACAAGAACAGTGTCACTCTTTCTCAAGGGACACAAATGAAAAACTGGCTCGGTCAGAACCAATTGCAACTTGCTGCTGAAATCAATTGAAACATGTACGAAAATATACAAAAATGTGAGCTACTTCTCTGTTCTAAAAACCTTAGAAACTTAAATTTTTGTTCTAATTTAGTACATGATCCACTTTTAAAGAAGTAGATTCAGTAAAAAAAAAAAAAGAATATGTGTGTTTGTGTGTGTGTACACATTGTACATATATATGGGGAGTGTAGATGTATGGGTGTGTTTGTATAGAGTATTTCATTTTTAACCCAGTGTGTAATAAGTTAAAGGCATTTAGTTAGGTTTTTAATCAAGACTATTTCTGGCATGAGTCCTATGGGATGAGGAGAAAGTTCTGGCCAGGAAATACACCTGAACCCGAAAGTCAGGCTCCAAGTCAGAATGGCCACTTACAGCTGAGAGGAACCAAGTTTCTCGTCCCCTTGCAGACCGCCCTCCTCCCCCCAGCGGAGGGCCGACCTCCTACCTGACTCTCTCCTCTTCAGCCCTCTTCAGGGCGGCGTCTCGCTGCAGAACCTTCATGATGGCCTCCTGCTCCTCCTCCGTCAGGAAGCTTAAGTCGATCATTTTGAAAAGTGTTCACAAAACTGGCAGGAAAGAACACAGCTTCAAATTCCCCAAGCTGAACAAGTCACCGTAGCCAGGATGATGAAAGGATAAAAAAAGTGCAATGGAATGGTATCTTGTTCAGTTCTGCAGCAAAAGTCTTCTCTTGGGTAGGCAAAAGTTTTAGGTGGCTGAGAGCAAAATCCTAAGCACCCTTTCCCTCGAGGCAGTAGAAGTCTGGAGGGTGATGTCAAGAGGAAGCGCTCAGGATGCTGGATTCTCGGCCAGACAGGTCACTTGTTCCTCCTGCAGCATTCCCACTCATGCCCCCTCGATGGACCAGTCTGAGACAGTTTTTTCTCCTTCTGTCCGACGTCAGCTCGATGAGCAGCCACAGGATCTGAGCGTCACCTGCCTGGGGAATCGTGAGACAGTAAATACCAGACAGCGACAGGCTGCGGTTCTCATTATTAACAATAAGCATTGCTCATTATTATAAGATTTCAAACATGTCTGGGGGGAAAAGTGACCATGTGAGATGGTCTCCGAGATCAGGGAAACCAGTTCTGCCAGCTTCTTGAGCAAATAGAAAATGGGTCATGAAACATGCTTCAACTCAATTCCAGACTGCCGAGATGGAGAGTGCACAAAAATGCCTGTCAATGTTTAACGATCCACAGAAGGAAGGGATGGTTGCAGAAAGACGGTGGTTCTCTCCGCAAATGAACAGGACGCTAGGCTGAAAGGTAACACTAAAGGTCAAGAAGACCAGGGAGGCCTTATTCCAGTTGTCAAGTGATTACTGGTAGGAAACTAGAAATAAAAATTTACAAATGCCCACTTCTTCATGCACAGGGATGTTCCACTAGCGTGTACCTGTGCTCTGTAATGATGGAAGAATTATTATCAGGTAGAGGTAGTTTGCACCATAGTGAAAAAACAGTTATTCTCCACTTAGTCCCACCTCTAACTTTTCCTGGACCTGGAGCAACTCACCAAGCTGTCTCCCTTCATTTCCCAGGAGAAAGAACACTGACTGTGTGTATATAATCTGGGGGAAAAAGAGGCAGGATTTCCAAACACCTCACCATTCAAAGTGAGCATTTTTGCATAGAAACATTGGCAAGAATCCTATTTTCTTTGAGGCATTTTAAGCCCATGAGCAGGGACCTCCCTGGTGGGCCAACGATCGAGACTTCACAGTCCAGTGTGGGGGGTATGGGTTTGATTCCTGATCGGGGAGTTAAGATCCCACATGCCTCATGGCCAGAAAACTAAAACATTAAGACAGAAGCAGTATTATAACAGAATTCAATAAAGACTCAAAAAAAAGGTTTTTGAACCTATGAGCAATGAGAATAAGGTGAGACCTACAGAATGCCACAGCCAGGCTAGACTTGAGGAACTACTCCAGGACTGGGGTCCTTTAACAAGCAGAGTGCTGCATATATAGTAGACACTAAAAAAAAAAAAAGAGTTTACTACATCTTAAAGCAGCCCTACTCAATAAAAGACAGCGTGTACAGTAACGTAGTAATGTCTATGAACACATCTATGAATAAACTCTTTGCTCTTTGGCAAAAGAGATCTACAAGGAAGTACTCCCACTATGACCGTCTAACTACAAAACATGAGGCAAGTTACCTAACCACTGAGGCTCAGGCTTCTCATTAGGATATCCTTCCAGGGTTGCTGGGATTAAATGAAATAATAGCTAGAAAGCAGTGCATATCTTGCATCCTGTACCGAAAGTAGCTGCTAAAAATATACTCTAACTTCCTTTCTGAGTTCACACTTTTGTTCCATCCAGCTGGCAAGAATGTACTGGTTACATGTTTTCCTTTTCTTTTTTATATCTTTCTGATCTCCCTTATGAAGTTTGGACTTCTTAGGCACGCATTCTGGTGACCTTTATTTCTATCTTCCTGTAGCTCTTTACATATTGCCCACAGTGACTAGGCGAATTTTAAGATAACACTTCACATTCACTTTTAAAATCAGCATGCACTCCCATGTATTTGCTGTTGTTGCTCTTCAGTTGCTAAGTCACATCTGACTCTTTGCAGCCCTACAGACTGCAGCACGCCAGGATTCTCTGGTGCATAAATTACTACTTGTGCATATATAAATATATGTGTGTGTGTGTGTGTGTGTGTGTGTGTGTGTATGCGATAGTACAAAATTGCATATATTACTGACTGCTTAATTGTCTCGAAAAGGACTTATCCTTCAAGATGAAAGTTACTATCTCCAAGAAGCCTTCCCTCATTTCCACAGCTGGAGCTAAATGAGCTAAATGCTGTAGCACAGTCGATTGTTGTCATTGCAGTTTAGTTGCTCTGACTCTTTGTGACCCCATGAATTGTAGCCTACCAGGTTCCTTTGTCCATGGGATCTCCCAGGCAAGAACACTGGAGTGGGTAGCTATTTCCTTCTCCAGGGGATCTTCCTGACCCAGGGATTGAATCTACGTCTCCTGCGTTGCAGGCAGATTACTACTAAGCCACTTCAAGTATAGTATTCCTAACTCTTCAGTCCCTCCCTGAAACAGAACAACACAATCATATTACCACTAGACTAAGCAGAGTATTCACCCCTACCTTCCAGATGGTGGGCCTGGCCTGTGACTGGCTTTGGCCCATGAATTGTTATAAACGTGATGAAAGTACAGGCTGTGTGCTTGTGTGGTTTGGCTTGGCATCTTGTACTCTGGCCATGGGCCATAAAGAGCTCGCCCCAGGGAGCCACTGCCTCTTCAGTCTGGGTCCCAGAAAGAGATACAGGGACCAGAACTTGATCCACCTGAAGCTTGGCCACCTTAGCTGATCTGTAGGTACCAAAGCAAGAAATGAATAATTTTGGGTGGAAGCCACTGAGGTTTGAGGCTGTCGTACAACAGACACTCTTGCAGCAGGGACTTCACGAACACAGAAGCTTTCTCCTCCACCTGTGTGTTTCCACTGCTGTGATGATTTGTCTGCTCTCGCCTCTCCCATCTGACTCTTCCATCTGAGTCTCTCGGTGTGAAGAAATAAGTGAATGAGTAAATGACTGAGTGAACCTAATCTAAACAGACAACTTCACCAGGGGACAGCTGTCTCAGCTCTTTCGTGCACGGTAGCTTTAATTCACATACAGAGCCTCCTTAGCTCTCAGAGGCTGGCAAGGAAATGGACTCAGGCCACCTTCTGGGAACCATGTCCCTGGGCGTTGCACTGCCGTCAGGTTCAGTGGGAGATTGTTTTTAAGTCCGATGAGTTGAGGACAGGAAGCAAACAAAGGAGAAAAATAAATTGCCCAGCAGGGGAACTGGCAGAGGAGCAAGAGGGGAAATGTTGGTCCCACATCTTCAAGGTAAACTACAAGCTAACCAATGTTTCTGTGTAAAAGCTTCTAGGGTTAAGTTTTTCCTAAAAATGGGCTAATTATGGGACTTTCCTGGTGGTCCAGGGGTTAAGAATCCACCTTGCAATGCAGGGGATGAAGTTTCCATCCCTGATACGGGAATGAAGATCCCAAAAGCTGTGGGGCAACTAAGCCTGGGTACTGCAACTACTGAGTCTGAGCACCACAACTACAGAGCCCGAGCACCACAATGACTGAGCCCGAGCACTGCAATGACTGAGCCCGAGCACCGCAATGACTGAGCCTGAGCACTGCAATGACTGAGCCTGAGCACCACAATGACTGAGCCCAAACACCACAACGACTGAGCCCAAACACCACAACGACTGAGCCCACATGCTCCGGAACCCATGCCACAACTAGAGAGCTGGTGTGTAGCAATGAAAGATCCTGAGTGCTGCAACTAAGACCTGATGCAGCCAAATAAACAGATAAAAACATACATCAAAAAAAATTTTTTTTTAAATAAAAATGGGCTATTTAGTGAGGCAAAGGGCAAGGTCCTCATTTTACAGACAAAGGAGTAAAGGGCTAGAACTCTTGACTCCTAGACTCCTAGCGGGGAGTCACGACCCAGCCAGATTGCAGAGCCCTCAGATGGCAGTTAAGATTCTTCAGTCTCAGGTGCTCCCCCAACTCCCAATATTCTCAATAGTTATCATGAGAGCTAATCAAGCATTCATTCATTCCACAAACACTTACTGAGAGCTCATTATGTGCCTGACACTGTTCCAAGCACTGGAGATACAGCAATGAAAAAGACATTTAAAACTTCCTGTACTTGTGGAGTGTGTATGACAGTTGGAAGGGATCATGAACAAATTAATAAAACACACACACACACAAATTAAAAAAAAATGATTAAATTATATAACTTTGGGGAAGGTAATAAGAACTTTAGAGGAAAATAAAGCTAGGAAAGCAATAATAAGATGAGGGGTGTTGGAGTTTTAAAGAGAGTGGCTAGGGCGGGTCTCACTGAGAGGATGATAATGGAGCAAAACCTTGCCAGAGATGAAACAAGCCACGCAGGTATCAGAAGGTCCTGAGGAGCGAGTGTGTCTAGAGTGTTCGAGAAACTTCAAGGTGATCAGTGTGCCTGAGGGACAGAATGGAGCAGGTCAGAAAGGAAATAGGTCAGACTGTATTGGGCTTGGAGTTGACTGTAAGATTTCTGGATCAGTGATTAGGGAAGGCAGGAAAAAAGGAGAAGGGAATAAATTCTTACTGGGCACCTCCTACATGCCTGGCAGTTTACATATATCATCTCATTGGATCCTCACAAAGATCTGAGGAGGGTATTTCATTATTCTATGGTGCTGGAGAAGACTCTTGAGAGTCCCCTGGACAGCCAGGAGATGAAACCAGTCAATCCTGAAGGAAATCAACACTGAATATTCATTGGAAGGACTGATGCTGAAGCTGAAACTCCAATACTTTGGCCACCTGATGCGAAGAGCTGACTCATTGGAAAAGACCCTGATGCTGGGAAAGATTGAAGGCAGGAGGAGAAGGGGACGACAGAGGATGAGATGGTTGGATGGCATCACCGACTCATGAAGGACAGGGGAAGCCTGGTGTGCTACATACAGTCCATGGGGTCACAGACAGATATGACTTAGTGACTGAACAACAACATTTTATTACGTATGTTTTTCAGATGAAGACCATGAGGCTCATGGAGGTATTTGCCACCTAGCTTGTGTGTGTAGTAGGGCTGGCATTTGTTGGAACAAGTCATCACTGGCTTTGTTAGAATGAGTCGCCTTGATATTGACCTCCCATTTAATTCTCTCTTGCACTCAGATCCCCAAATTGGGGAAGCAGAAAAAAAGCTCTTCTGTCTGCCTATGGACCCTCATTCTTTGCTTAAGCACAGAAGAATCAGTAGCCCAGAGCTGGCTATCAGCATGGGGGCAACCCCAGTGCAAATATCCGGGAGGGATGAGTCTTGGCAACAGGGATGCCTGACGTGTCCACAGCAGGAGTAGGATGAGCAAATAGTTCTCC